GAGTGGGATGTATTGATACTCAGTCAGAATCACTGAAAAATCTAGTGAGATTGGAGGCATAGATCTCATCCTGGCAGTGTTTTTTCTCTTCATCCATCTGGGAATGAGGACTGCGGGTCTCTTTCTCTTAACTTTCCAAAGGTCTTCCTTAGCGATTAGCTTTGTTTTCTACTGAGGCTATAATACTATTTTCTTACGTTTCTTCCTTGCAAACCTATCATACCGACAAACAATGTCAAAGACTGTTTCATTCTCCTCCTGACAGAATCTACATAGCTGGTTCCTTCTTACTCGGAGATTCAACATATGGTAATTTAACTTACAGTGACCATATCTTCAAATTTCCCAGAGTCACAGAAGCTCGGGATGAAGTAAGGTTTTAAAAAATTCTGAAGCATAACTCCGGGTTCCGTTTAACGAAAAGATTAAACTATAAGATGACCAGGGCGACATCTTTGAAGAGATTTTACCAATCTGATTTTTCAGAAGATGTTGCACACTGTCAATAACCTGATTTTTAGCAACAGGAAAACCTATTTTTTCCATTTATTTAATCCACATAACTAATAAATTTTCTTTTTCGCTAAAAAAAATAGTGGATGGTCCTATTTCACGCTATATTGTGTATTTTCCTCTGACTATAACATACTGTTATACGCTAAATTCCATTTTTAAATGAGACAGCCTGTATGAACATTTCCCTGCAAGCATTATCAAGGGCTTTTTCCATGTCTTCCTTTGCATATTTTTTTTTTATTTATGACATTTACAACTTTATTAATAAATAAAATACATTTAGTAAATTTGATAACAGAAAATAATGACATGAAATCACTTGTTGAGAAACTACCCACTGGTAGCACTCTAAAAAAAAAATGTATTTACAATAGATCTCGAGGCCATAGGAGCGTTATGAGGGATAGAAGACGAAGCAAGGTTAGAGACGAGAGGATTCGGATGGTTCTGAAGTTTATTATGGAAGGATAGGTATCTGGATTGGGCTAAATCGGAAACATAAGTAACATTAAGGTCGTTATGTATTATTTTATTGGTGACAAAGTAAGGAGCATTGAGGATTTTTGATTGTAAGGATTGGATACGAAAGGAATTCGATGGCTTAGTGTGGAGCCCCAAAGCTCAACTCTGTAAGTCCAAATAGGTCTTATTGTAGTCATTTATATGAGTCTTTTGTAATTAACTGGAAGCTTAGAGCATTTGTCTAGTAAATGTTAGAGTAGTCGGAAACGTCGAGCGGTTTCTTGTCGTTTCAGTCTGGTATTCTTTGCATATTTAAATTTTCTTTTATTATATCAGTGCCTTAGAAAAATAGCTGGAAGACAGAAAAACAAATACCAAACGTTGTTCCAATAGCTGACATATTCTTGTTCCAGTACTTGACACCCCCAGTCAGCTTTTGAAATATATAATCTACACAGAAAATATTATTCAGTGGTAAACCTGTATAGCGAAATAAAATAGTTAAATAGAGGAAATGATGTTTTTAAAAAAGTCGTGAAATGACCCAGTAGCTGATAGGGCTGTCAGGTACTGGAGAAAGGGACGATTTGAGATTCCAGTAGATGACACACATTATATTTTTAAATTCCTTCAAAAAAATAAGTTCAAAACAGATAAGACATGATCTATCTAAAACTCTAGGAAGGAATAAATTTGAGAACAATACAAAGTATATATACCAATATTCAAGTGAATAAACAATTATTATTATTATCATTTATTATTATTTACTTACAAGTACATTTAATTATTTTTATTCACAAGTGAATTATGGAATTAAAATTATACAGAAGGCACTAATATTTGAAATAGAGATCTAGGAGGTCCTGAAATCTTATTATTCAAATTTTTAGAGGATATCAACTAGTGGTGCTTTTCCCCTGAATATAAAAGTTGAACGTTATAATTTATATGGCGCAAAATTATATCTTTTTAGAATAAGTTGCTACTCAACTGTAATGATATTTATCTTATGTTTTAAATATTATATAATAAGTACAATGTATTCAAATGGTTTTGAAACAAAAATGAACTAAATAAAGCAAACAATTCTCACCATGTAATTTATTTTCGGTTTAAATAAAAATACACATTAATAAGATGATCTGAACTTTCTTTATTTTAATACATTTTTAGAAATACAAAAATTATATATTTTTACTTTCCTACCTATACTAGGTAAGGAAAGTATTGTGATAGGGTCAAATTTCCTATATGGGGTTTTCGACGGATCTATACTTTTCAGAGCCTCCCGAGTCCTAAAAACACATTTTTAGCCATTGGTCTGTCTGTGTACCAATATTTTCTCGGGAACTAGTGAACCGATTTTGTTGCTTCTTTTTTTATTTTGTAGGGTTTTGACTACTGATTCCTGTGACACAAATTGGGTTCTCCATGCGCAATAGTGGCCGAGCAATAAATGGAAAACATGTTTTTCTATAGACTGTAGTGCAAAAACCTCTTTGACGATTTTGAAACTTTCCTATAATTTTATAATTTTCCTTTCAATTTTCGTACATGTACTAAATTGCCGAGAAAATTCAGGAAAAAAAGATATAAAGATAAGAAAAATGTTTTGGGGCCTAACTCGCTAAATACATATGCTATTTATAGAATATAGAAATATAAATATAGAAATTTGTAATATAAATTTTGAAAGGTAATTAAATTACCAAAAAAATCATAGAAATCGTGTATTAGCAATGATACTGCTTATTCTAATTTAATGAAATTTCCTATAAAACTATATAAAAATCGTTCATTTTGGACAACTCTTAACGAAGTTACAGCTATTCAATTTCCAATGTAAGATTACTGATTCATATCCTGGTGTGAGAAAGGGCTAAATGAGAGAGAAAAAAGATAACTAGGTATACGTATATATGTATATATATATATGTATATATATATATATATATATATATATATATATATATATATATATATATATATATACATACAAAATTTAATCGACTTTTGAGTATTATTATTTTTTGTTATTTCTTAATGATATTTACAACTGTATTAAAGAAATACATTTAGTAAATTTGAACATATGGATATAACGACGTGAAAATACTTATTGAGAAACTACCCAATGGTAGCACTCTAATGATGTCTACATTAGGAGATCACGGGAGTATTATATTTTAAAATAATTATTTAATTGGGAATAAGATCACTTAATATTAAATAATCTTATATATTTATATATATAAATTTATTGTACAAGTTTACAGACCCATAGCAAGTTGGAAAATATGAAAAAATAAATCATATAAAAACAATTATTCGTCATCGATTCTTTGGAAAACGAAAGGGACATTAACAATGTTACAATGGACTCTATAAATAATTTGTTTTTAACGGAATTTGGCTGAATTTTGTGGTAATATTTTTAAAAAAATTTATTACTCCCTCAAACATATGTATAAATATTTATTTGTTACTATGTAACGTTCATTCTTAAATTTTTTGTAAAAATTTTGTTATGGAAATAATGATTCAAGTCATGCCGAAACTGAATAAAAATAAAAGTTAAAATTTTATTTCAACCCCTGGGGACGACAGATCCACCGGATATAATCTCAGTCTTTATTGTTATATCTCAAATGACTTTACATTACGGTTGAAACCTGAACTTAATTAATACGGGCATAAAGCTTACTAATAAAGGTTACTGATGCTTACTAAGTATTTCTAAAAGTGGTGTAACTGTATTCTATTAGGAGGTTGGTAAAAATTTGCTTTGGAGGGTAATAAATATTTGCGTTAGTGGGTGATGAAACAAATTATGAATAATCCACAATTTAAAAAAAAAAAATATTAGTTTAGCTGCTTTCCTCTTTAAATGGTCTATAGATAAATCTAAGCCCTCTTTAGATGGTTGTAACAAAGACAGACTCTACATTTTAGTTTCACTTACCTATATATGAAAATAAGTAACACTTAAAAAATCACACAATTTCCTGCTTTTCTGGGAATGATCTGGCAATGGTTTATATGCCATTTTTTCGTAACTCTATGGAGCAATGTTTAATTACTTAAATCAAATATCTTTTTATTTATCGCTTTCTATTGAACAAAAATACTTGACCTGCTTAAAAACACACATTTGGGAAAGAAATTGTGCAATTGTTTATACAAACTTTTTTGTAGATGTTTACAATCAATCTTGTAAACATTTCCCTCTACTTCACCTTGTATATATCAAATTTATAAACAGCTTATGTTTAGGTTATGGCATCTGAAGTCATTTATTTCCTGAACTTAATTAAGCTTATTTATATTTTTATTAATTATTAATGTAAGGAAATATGTTGTGACCAATTAAAAAAAAAAAAACAATTGAATGAATGAAAACTTGTATTTATTCAAGAAAGGAGAACATTTCCTAAAATATTATACAATGAGTAGAAATTACAAATGGCTCAAATCATGACTTCGTTGTTGGTGTTCACAGATCCCTTAAAATTAGCAAACACTAGTTTTTATCTCTGGTGTACATAATTGCAAAGGAACATCCATATTTTTATTAATAAATTATAATATCTGCAGATAATATAACTATATAATATATAATAGATGTTAGTACATTGTCTAAGAATAAAAAAAAAAAAAAAAAAAAAAAACATTTTATGAGACCTATATGGTGTGGGTAAATAAATCTGTTTTTGAAATACTTATACTAAGAATTGCATCTAATCTAGAAATACAATAGATAAAAAATGATTATGGAAAAGGGTGTAGTAACACAAAGACTGATTTATAAAAATGAAATCTTACTAAAAAATACATATAGAAATAGATCACTACATGAAAAAGTTTTTAAAATGATGAAACATTCAAATATAAATAAGTCTTGAATTTTTTTTTCCTCATAAAATGTAATACTTTTAAATCAATTTCCCACAAAAAAAAAAAAAAAATCATTAAAAAAAGGTAAGACTCATAAAATGAAATTAAATGAACATAATGAAAATTTAAAGGGGTTGAGCTGACCAAGGGTGAGCAATGACCATTTCGGAGTTGTCAGCGATGGATCCCTCCGACTTGATGTTGTAGCAGAACTGTTTGGTCGCGTACATCTTGACCCTAGCTTCCAAAACCATACGACGAGCTGCAAACTCAAAATTTCTCATACCTAGGCGCCGTGCCATCAGATTGAGGTGAAAAATATCTTGCTCGCACATCTCAACCAGCCAGCCTTCCATCTTCATGAAATATGTATCCTTCAGCTTTTGTCTCGTTTGGATATACCTGCGAATCCGTAATATGGCAAGGCATATGACAATGAGACTTGTAACTGCATACCAGCTCCACAAAATGATAAAGATAACTTTAAAAACGCCACCATAATTGATTTTACATTGAACTTGGTAGGGCCAGTGACTGAAGCGGCATTTTTTCACTGATGGAAACAACTCATATTTAGCCTCCTCCCAGCTGTAGCCCATGCTCAAAGCGCAATTTGTAGAAAAAACATAAGTCAATACGGCTTGAGTTATTGTGTGACAAATGTCGGCTACATCTTTAGCTACTTTAATCAAAACACATTTGATGTCTACTTTCGATTTTATAAGCCTCACAACTTCACAGACCATATCATCAAAGTTATTAGGTACATTCCCTCTAATTCTTTTGAACTTCATCGAAAAAGGATTCTTCAAGTTGTTATTTATGAAAGAAACAAATAAAAAAACTGATGCTTTACACAAGAGCACTGCATAGGCGAAGTAATACAACGGCACATTGGTAGTAGTAATATCATTGCTTGGTTCTGAAGTTATCTTACCGCAACTATAGAACTTCTTACCGTCAGAATAAACTACGCAAACAGGAGAACTGGCGAAGAAATTGGCTATCATCGCTATCAGGAACAGCCAAATGAGCAACGCAAAAGTAGCAAAATTTTTCAAATAGAGGAAATTCATGACGCACAAATAAGTAAAACAGCGCGAGGAAGCAGCCCCAACTAGACTAAAAGAAAATGTGCGACGTCAGTTCATTATGCCCCCTCCCCTCCCCTATTTAAAAACCAATCATATTTCAGTATATTATCTCGAATAGAAACAAGATATTATTACTCTTATCCAATAAGGCATATTATCCGGTCGAAAATTATGTTTACATCGTTTAGTAACTGGATCTTTATTATTAGGAATCTGTTTTTCACAATGAATTAGGTGTTATAGATAAATTTAATTGGTTATATCTTAATTATTTTGGTATGCTAAACTTTAGTTTCAATAATTCATTCCCATTCTTCGGCCCAATAAAAAATTGATTACAAAAATAAATACCATAAAAATGATCTCTTTCGTTGTTCTCGTTTATTTCTTTTACCGAGGAACAATAAAAAATAAGGCGATAAAGGGACATTTGCAACCTGCTATATAATTTTAGAAAAGAGCTTGAATATTAATATCAAACAATTATATCAATGTATAACGTGTTAATAGTTATTTCAAATATCCAAATATCCATTAAAATTTTGGTATGTATGGTCTCTACAATTTTAATCTTTGAAAAAACAGGAACAAGACTAACATTTTTAGTATACTTGCTAAACTTTCGATATCATACATTTCTAGTCATCATCAAACCATAGTGCTATTCTATACTGTGAACTCCACTAGGGATATTACAATATTTTCCGGCTCTTAATGCCACTGACCACATCTATTGTTTGTTTTTTAATTTTAATTTTTATTATTATTTTTTATTGGAATATAATTAAATCTTCTAGTCTCTAGCATTTGACAATGATGAGTCTACATATTAATCATTATTTAAAGACACTGATATTTTATATTATCAGCTTTGTCTTTTCTTTGTTAGCAGAAACACACCTCATTTTAAAGAAGAACTCAATGTATTTTTTATTATTTTATTTTTCAAAAGAGTATAATTATAACTTTTCCTACTGTATATAGTCTTAAGTGTTTTATCATAGTTTTAAGTGTTTTGTATACAGATTTTTATTTTATTATTTTATTTTTTTTTTTGTATATATCTTGTTTAACTAATATTTTCTTTACTTTCTCTTTTTTATTATTGTTTTATTTTGGCCAGATGTAGTATTTTAATTATGTTCTATTTTGTTATTCTAAAGGGACTTTGTCCCAGAATAAAGTTTTTTTCTATTTCTATTTCTAACATTGTATACTTTATTGATTTTTTGTAAAGCTTTAATAGCAACATTCAAATATTAATATATTGCTTATTTAAAAAAAAGAAGTTAAATGCACAAAAAAAATTGGTAAAAGAAAATCAGAAAAATAAAACAAATCCAGAAACAATGAATTAAATTATTTGATATAAAAACAATAAATGAATAAAGTCTAAATTAGATTAATCACTGAGACCTATAAACAGAAATATCATATTAAATTATTTTCAAAAATATTTTTAGTATTTCAATGCAGGTATGCATGTGTTTTTTTCTTAGTTTTAATTTTCTTATTTTTAGGTTATATTTATTGTACATACTTTTAGATTATTATTTATTGTTATTTTGCTTCTATTTATTTTATATTTCTTGTACATATACTGTGAATGTTATCCTACCTCTCTATAACTAGTGCCCATGTGACAGATTGTTGTAATACCCAATAAATTAAAAAAAAAAAATTTCTCAAGTATTGAGTTTCAAAACAATCTCATTTTTGTGTTCTTACGAGTAAGCTGGTTTTCCTATTTTTAAAGTATACTTATTTTCTTTTATTGAATGATATTACACCCTCTCTCAATCGAAAATAATGACAATAGTTATAAAAGTGCACATTCCCAAAAGCTTATTTCTTAAATTACTTTTGGAAAGTTATCGATTTTCAACAGGCAAATTTTTAGTCACTACAAATAATGAGATGTTTATTCGTCATTGATTGAAAAACAACCTCAATAATCTTACTTAATCTAATAAGTGCTTTATTCAATATTTTTTTTCAGCTTATTTATTGAGAGATATTACAGTCTGTCACAATGAAGGACATTTATAATAGTGTTCAAAGAGCAAATTCACACTCCATTCACAATAAATAAAAATAAATAATACAGAAAATAATAATACTAAAAGTAAATGTATATAAATTAAACTAAACAAAAAGGAACTAAGCTAATGAAAGTAAGAACTCAAATACATACATGCATTCAATATTAAGTAAATTAAATTTTGTTCACTGACTATATTGGCTGAAAAAAAAATTATTTATTTTATCCACACACATGGGAGTGGGGTAGCTTAGTGGTAGGGCGCTGAGGTTCTAATGCAAAGATCCCAGGTTCGAACCCCAGCTCATGGCAGAAAATTTATTCATCTGTTTCATTGGCCGTGGGGCGACCCTGGGTCGGGAGACCCTCCTGGGGCACACCCATCCTCTATAAAGTGGGTACCCTTAATTAAATAATTGATTAAGGGGGAAAACCTGGCGGTTGAGCGTGATCTCGGTCGAATCACCTCCTTGCACAACCGTTGACCTAGAAACAGTGCTTTCCCTAAACAGTACTGAACCCCAGACCCTTCATGGGTAGTAGTGGTACAGGTTTTTATCCACAGAATAAACATTATTGAAGGATTAATCGTTTCATAAGTACATACATATTTGTATGATTATGATTTTATATATTATATTAAATCATATTCAAATGAGATGTTAAATGATCTTGTTTTTAATTAACTTTTCGGATTGTCCATCGGTAATTGTCCATTATTATATTGGGAGGGAGGTTTATAATAATATACTATCGATTTTATTATTTAGCATTTTTTAATCGATTTTGTGTAACATTTCGGATTTCTTTGATATGAGGATCCATTATTATGTTTGCAGGACCATTTTTTATGAAACTATTAACAGATGTAAAGGCCCAGCTTGCATAAGTTTCTTTAACTTTACGAATTTCTTCTATATAAGGGTCCAATTATGTTACCGGAGTCGCTTTTAATGGAACGAGAATCGAATATAAGATTGCGCCGTAAAGTACTCTACTTCTACTCTATCGGCGCGAAAATACATCACTGGATCTTGGATTCTTCAAGCAACTTCCACCAGTTTAATTGAAGAAGTGCAGCCGTCTTCAAATTCCAAACAATTGCGCTTAGAGTATTGGTAAGTTTTCAGATTTTTTTCGAGATAAGAGTCCATTATTGTGTGTCCGAGGCGCTTTTATGAAAATAATAGAGATTATAAGATACGCTCTCGTATATCGATTTTTAAAACTTCTTTGACCACTATGATAGGGGAGTGCATAATTATTTTTTTGGATTTACTTGTCGAGGTCGGTTAACATAGCATTGAGAAGTTCTCGAGACTGCTTGTTCAAACAAAATAGAGTACTCAATGAGTGAAGAACATACACTCTGAGTGAGGCTAAGACAGAAGGACTTCAAGTGTCAGGAGGATGAGCTCCCAAATCACTTTGGGTAGGCGAGTTAAAGGATAAGCCTTTCTTAAGGCTTGAGGAGACCTTTCTCGTAGACTTGGTATATAGAACTACAAGCGGACAAATGAGCATCAAGATCTTGTATGGTATGAGAAGAGTAAGGGTAAAGTCGGTGAGCCAGACCCCCTCCCCTAATGTGCACCCTCCTCCCCCTCCATATCTCTATAAATCGCATATCGTTCTGTTCTTTGTAACTTAAAAAAAAAACAAAAATAAGCCAATGTTCCTCCATAAAATTGAACGCACTGCCCCAAAATGCCATCCAAAGAAGGCGGACTGACAACTTTGACTTGAGTTAGTTTTTTGGTCACTGAGAATCAACATTTGGCTTAATTTCGTCATAATTGGCCTATGATAAAAGCTGGATAGTCAGATAATAATAAAACATGTAACAATATTAAAAAATAATTGCCTTAGGCTATAAAAAAACACCAGTAAATGAAATTTTTATCAAGTTGAAAATCAAGCGTCGTTTGTAATTAAACTTTAATAAATTTCCAAAATACACAGGGCATTTATACGCCATGATTATTCGTCTGCCGGAAATTTAATATATTTTACAGATACAGCTCAAATAAAGACTTTATAACGATTACATATACATGAATAACTGATAAAAAATTAAACAACTAATACAATATAAAATAATAAATATATTTTTTTTTATTTGCTGTTATTTAACGTCGCATCGACTGCCAAGCTCATTAGCGACGATCGTTCTTCTTAAATATAACTTATCAATTTTATTTTTCGGATGTACTTCAGCGTTTTTTCAATACCAGTGTTTTCCTTGTACGGTGCCTTGTCTTCAATTTGGAGTTCGATTTGCTGTTTCCGGAACTTTTTGCACTGGAATATGTGTTCAACTGTCAGATTAGCATTTTCACATACCTCACCGATGTAAGCCAAGAAGTAGGTGGAGATGGGTCAGTTTGGTATGTCCAATTCTGAGCCTGCTTATTATAGAGCACTCTTTTGATGTCAGGTGTTTTGGAGGATACCAAGCTCGATTGTCGTCTTTGGTCAGATGAAGATGATTGCGCGGCAGTAATCTCCACTGTGCATTCCAACTGTCGTTCACTTTCTTTGAAATTTCTCTTCTCCATTCGTTGAGAAACTTCGATCCTAAAACAGGTGAATCTGTGCTTCTGGCGGCTTCCTTTGATCCTTCATCGGCTCGTTCATTGCCGATTATGCCAATGTGTGAGGGTACCCAAAACAATATTATTTTTTGACTATTTTTATTTAGTTTCAAGTTCATTAGCTGAATTTTTTTGTGCAATGTGTTACATGTCCATGCATTTTGCAGTCTCTTGATTACAGATAAGGAATCGGTCACAATTACTGATTTCTCAATATTGGTGCCGATTACGTACTCAAATGCCTTGAGAATCGCCCACGTTTCACTTGTAAAAATTTTTTTTTTTTTTTTATTTATTTATACATGATATCTACAACTGTATTAAAAAATTAAATACATTAAGTAAATTTGATAACAGAAAATAAAAACATGAAATGACTTGTTGAGAAACTACCCACTGGTAGCACTCTAAAAACAAAATGTATTTACAATAAGAGATCTCGAGGCCATCTTCTTTTCAGACGCCTCGGAGGGTTATCAGGAATAGAAGAGGAAGCAAGGTTAGAGACGAGAGGATTCGGATGGTTCTGAAGTTTATTATGGAAAGATTGGTATCTGGATTGGGCCAAATCGGAAACATAAGGAACATTAAGGTCATTATGGATTATTTTATTGGTGACAAAGTAAGGAGCATTGAGGATTTTCCGAAGGATTTTGGATTGTAAGGATTGGATACGAGAGGAATTTGATGGCTTAGTGGAGCCCCAAAGCTCAACTCCGTAAGTCCAAATAGGTCTTATTGTAGTCATGTATATAAGTCTTTTGTAATTTACTGGAAGCTTAGAGCGTTTGTCTAGTAAGTGTTGGAGTAGTCGGAAACGTCGAGCGGTTTCTTGTCGTTTCAGTCTGGTATGAGGATTCCAAGTTAGACGTTTGTCCAAGTGAAGTCCAAGGTATCGGATTTGTTCAACAGGGATAAGTGGGGTATTATTAAAGGATACTGTGGGACATGAGGTCATAGGTTTACGTCGAAGGGTAAAGGTGATTTGATGGGATTTATTAGAATTTATTTTAATCCTCCAGTTTTTACACCATTCTTCAAGGCTTGTGATGTGCGATTGAAGAGTTTGGGATGCAATGGTTGGGTCATTATTAACGGATAGGACACATGTATCATCGGCATACGTGGTAATAACAGTGTTAGGATGGGTTGGGATGTCAGCTGTATAAACTGTGTAAAGGATAGGACCAAGGATACTACCTTGAGGAACACCAGCGGACTGGGAAAAGAGGGATGAATAAGCATTATTGTGATTGACTTTTGAGTATCTATCAGTTAGATAGGAACGGATAATGAGGAAGTATGTAGGATGTAGGAATTTACGGAGTTTGTAAAGTAATCCCGGGTGCCAGACTCGATCAAAAGCCTGTTCTACATCGAGAAAGACTCCCGTGCAGTACATTCCGCGCTCTAATGCAGAGGAGACAACATCCACCACACGATGGCATTGCTGGATAGTGGAATGGGATCTGCGGAATCCAAACTGGTGATCTGGGATTATGTGATTAGAATCTAGGATTGGGTACAGGCGTTTTAGGATGAGTTTTTCTAGGACTTTTCCCATGATGGGTAAAAGAGAGATAGGACGGTAAGAGGATGGGTATTCTGGTGGCTTTTTGGGTTTATGTATCATTTTGATAATGGATAGTTTCCAAGGGTCGGGAAAATATGTTGATCGGAGTACAGCATTATATATATATGTAAGGAATAGAATGGCTTTCCGAGGAAGTAGTTTTAGGATCTGGGATGTAATTAGGTCGTGTCCAGGAGCTTTGCGGGAAGGTAACCTGTGAATGATGTTGGATATTTCTGAAGGATGAAAGGCTTTAGGAGGAGGAGTCATTTGGAGTGGGATATCCAGTTCTGCTTCAATACATTCAAGGTGATTTGGGTTAAGAATATCGGGATGTGGATTAAAGGTTTTAAAGAGGTGGTGGGCAAATATTTGGGATTTTTCTTCGTCGGATTTGGACCAGGTTTGGGCTTCAGTGAGTAGTGGATGGTTGCAGTCCTTAAATTTCAGGAGCCTTTTAGTGGTCGTCCATAGTGATTTATCGGTAGGTGTAAGTTTTTCAGTAAAATTTAGTAAATTTTGAATTTTGTATTTTCTTATTTCTGATTTCAGTTTGTTAGTCAGTTGGGTGTAATGCGCTTTATCTGTCGGGTATCTAGTTCGATGCCACTTCGATCTTGCTCTGCGTTTTTCCTTTAATAAGATGCGAATATGCTGTGGCAAGTTAGTATTTTGTGGTTTGTTAATCTTATTGATAAAGGTATTATTATTTATACTGTCTGTTATTGTTGATGTCAGTTTTTCTATGGCACCATTAATGTCTTCTTTTGTCTTTAGCGGAATTTTGAGGTCAAGTTTGTTTTCCAAATCATCACGAAATTTGTCCCAGTTTACTCGTCCAGTGATCAGTTTGGGAGGTGATGGTTTAGGAGCAAAGTCAGAATGTAATGAAAGCAGAACCGGACTATGGTCTGAAGAAAGGTCATCCAGGGATTTGATTATAGTTTGGGAGGAGGAAATCTGGGAGGTGATAAATATATCCAGGATATCGGGACGTTTTTTGAGGGATGTTGGCCAATAAGTAGGACTCATGGGCGAGAGGATTGAATAACTATTAGAAGATGAGAGACGGGAAAGGATGTTACCGCGGGAGTTGGATGTTCGACAACCCCACCGTTGGTGTTTAGCATTGTAATCTCCTCCAGCAATAAAGCGCGATCCGAGGGATTGGAACAACGTATCAAGGAGATTAAAGGAGAGGGAATTACCAGGAGGACAGTATACAGCTGAGACTGTGAAATGGAAAGGGCGAGTTGAAAGGATTAAAGAAGTTGATTGAATGGCGTCAGTTGGAGTGGAAGGAATAAGGGAATGGGGTAAAGATTTATGTATAAGGATGCAAGAACCGGCGTGGGCAGTGTTGTCTGGATGGTCAGATCTATAAGTGATGTAGTCTCGTATGTGAAAATGTGTCCGTTTTGTGAAATGCGTTTCAGTCAGTAGAGCTATATCAATGTGATTGTCATGAAGGAATATGTCAAGTTCGTCACGGTGGTTGTGTAGTCCGTTAGCATTCCATAAAAGGATAGTTAGGGGCTTTGTGCTCATCGAGGGAAATTAAACGGAATTTCGGTCAGGATTCTGGTTAGTAGAGTGATAAGAGGTTTTATGGTGTTTTGGAGGTCCAATAGGAAGGATGATAGAATGGAAGTTAGATCAGATGGATGTTGATTGTGAAGTGGATTTAGGATAGGTTCAGGTGGCGGGTAAGGAGTGTTAACTGAGAGTGGGATTCGTTGTTGTGTACGAGGTGGGACTGGATTCGACGATACTTGTGCTGGGTTTTTTTTCTGGGCATTAGGATGAGATGGGTGCGATTGCTGTGGCGGTAATTTGACTCGTAGAGGTAGATGATGAGGGGGAATTTGCTGACGCGGAGGATGAAATATGAGAGGATTGGGAGTATGAGGTTTAGCTTGGGAGGCCTGAGGCGCCTGGCGTCGAGGCTGCTGCTTCTTGATGGTGGTATGGGTGCTAGTTTTGGTAGATTCCTGTTGAGGATGGGCGATTTCAGTTGAAGTAGTTGGTTCTTGTTGTGTTGAATGGGTAGTTTGTTTTGGCAACTCAGGAAAATTTGTAATATCAATTTCTGGTGGCTGGGTGTAAGTTTCTTTATTTAGTTGGCTGCACTTTAAGGCTATGTTATGAGTTCTTAACTTGTAGTATTTTTTATATACTATGCATCCTTTATAGCTTGCAGGATGGTCTTCGCCACAGAGAGCACATTTAGGAGGCTGGTCTCGAGGGATCTGACAAGTGTTAGATGCGTGTGGCCCGGCACATCTAACGCACCTCGCTTGATGATGGCAATAGGTCTTTGTGTGCCCCAAGTCTTGACACTTGGAGCATTGAACTATGACAGGTTTTTGTCTAGGCTCTTCGAATTTTACTGTGGAATACACAAGCCTCTTAACTTGAAATATATCAATGTTATTGCTTGCAGGCTCCAAATCAACGAAAAACAGTGGCAATGGATATTTTTGCGTTGGATGTAGGACGCATGCTATATGCCTAACGTTATGTCCTATTTCCTCTAGATCAGATTTGATAACGGATATGGGAGTGGTTGAGTGCAAGCCTCTCAATACCACCCGATATGCCTTTTCTTGTCTCAGTTGGTAACAGTGAAATTCATATTTTTTAGTTGTAAAATAATTTATCAGAGTTTTATAATTTTCTTTAGAGCTCGTGTTAATCTTAATGTCATTAACCCTAGAAAAACAGCGGAAACTGGTTTGTCCGATAAGATTGGCAATTTCTTGAACGAATGATATAAAATTTTCAATTTTAGAGACAAAAATAGGGGGCGGCTCGGGGTCAGTAAAACCTTGAGGTGCCGGAGGCTTGTTAGGTGAGTTACTACCAAGATCAAAATTATTGCTGGCTGTGGTATTTGGTGCAGTTGGAGCTGTTTTTGTGATGTTTGATTTGCTTCTAGTTCTGGGTGGTGATTTATTTTGCTCGGCAGGCTGTTTAGATTTATTTTGTTCAGCTGTCTGTTTAGATTTTGCTGATTTATTTTTCTTCTTGTTAGGCGAATTGCCACCTGACCCAGGGGCAGAGTTTCTGTTACGTTTTTGAAGCGAGCGTCTTTTCAGATATTGCGAATCAGTTTCGCTAACCTCGGAAAATGGTGTCTCGTCCTCTGAATCTTCACATGAAGATTTCTCGTCCAAATTCATATCTTCCATTATGATAAGAAGAGAAAAGAAAGAAAAAAAATATATATATACCTAAATATTAAAACTACAAAATAAGAATTTACGATCTATTAAAAAGAAGTAAAAAAAAAAATTACAAACTCAGAAACAGAAATAAAACAAAACATTTCTGAGAATAAATAAACAAAGGAAAAAAATTAAATAAACTGTCTCTTGGAGAAGAAAAAAAA